CATACTATGATTAAGTCTCTCCCTTTCTCCTGAGGCTGAGGAAGGTTTGTTTTGGGTGCAGGAGCTATCCTGAATCGGCTCCAAATGCTCCTTTCTGACAGCTGGTAGCAGCTGGAATCATCAGCTACTGATGATCCAGAGACTGATGGCCCTGGTCACAGCACTGTTCAGATTTGTGCAAGGACTGCTGAAAATCCAGTTCTTCTATTGGGTTTTACCCTGTGGGTCGAGGGAGGGCCGAAGGACTGGTTTTCCTCTAAGGAAAACTAAGCACAGCGAGTGCTGGTCTGGTTCAGCCCACAGAGGGTTAGAACGGGACTGGAAAAACAGTCCAAAAAGCATCCCAGGCTGTGCCCACCCCTATTCCCTAGGGCAGTGCCCCACGCATGGGGCCAAATCACAGCTGAAATGGGGCACACGGACCAGTCTGGCTGCCTTTCCTCTGGGTTTGCTGGTGTCTGAGCGTCGCCCAGGCACCTACGACTGCTGCAAGGACAATATAAGTGGAAGAAGCCAATATTTATGTTCCCTGGGAGGCCATCCCTCCTCCGCCGTAATGGTTTGGGCAGGTGCTTGGCTTGCACGTTGAGCCGAGCTCCGTGGGGAGCTGCGGGTGTTTCCCCATCTCCAGCACCGTCAGCTCTTGCTGCCAGCATCGAGGTTTGGGGTTTGCTTGGGGGATGAGCCTGGACCCCCTCCACTCCTTGCAAATACTCCTGGTCCCTGGAATGCACTTGCAGCAACCGGGCTCCTGAGAAGCAGATCAGCCCCTGACAAGGTCTCCTGTCAGCAGAAAGATGCCTCTTTTTTAAGTGATGAGGTTTTTTATATTGCACCAGATCCTTCTTATAAATCACCAATGTATTTCCTAGCAATGGTGTATTACATACAAATCAGTTTCTCAGCACTGTGTTTTCCAGATAGTCGGAGAGGAAAATTTTTCTTCCTTTTTTTTTTTTCTTTTTTTTTTGGAGGCTCTGCATTTTCTCAGATTTCTGGGCTGCTGATTTTCCCCGGTTTCCACTCCTGATCCAGCCACCTGCCATGAAAGAGAGATTTGGTGGCAGCTTCTCCAGGTGCTTTGTCCCTTGCTGGAGGCAGCACGGCAGATGTTGGACATGGGAATGGCCTTGAGTGGCCCCGGCCCATCCATGGGCTGGACTTGCCATGCGTGGGGTGAGTGTCACCAGTGCCATGCATGACCTGGCAGCAGGTAAAGGTAAAAAAGAGCTTTTTATCCCCCCAGCAGATAAGAGAACAGGAATCCGCTCCCAAGGAAGGTTATAATTAGCCTTTCTTATGTTATGGCTGTTTCCTTGGATAAGCTGGCTGTGTTTTCTGCTCCTTGAATCAGCGCAAGTGCATAGCTCGATCCTGCCAAACCAATCCAGACACACGCTGCAGGCGCAGCACAGACATTGCAAATAAGCTGGGTTAGATTCTGCCCAAATGGCCGGAGAAATCAGGCCGTGAACGGAGCCGGGAGCTTCCTCAGGATGCTGCCTCACTGCTCGTGCATTTGCATCTAGGGAGGCTCAGCTTTTGGTGTTCAAAGTCTGGATTTGGATCTTGCTTCGGTTTTAGAGATGATTATTTACAGCCCACAGGCCCTGGCAGATAGCCAGCGTGGCTGAGAGTTTTACAAAGTTTAGGCAAAACAGGCTTAAAAAGCACCTTTGAAACTCTTGCATTTGCGAGCAGGCTAATTATAACCTTGCTGCTACTGGGGAATAAAAAGCAAATGCCTAATTGCTAATTACTGAACCCATAGAAGAAAGTAATAGCAGATGGGTAACCATGCAGTTAGTGACAGTTGTAGCTGGAGTCTTTGTATTGAGTTAAAACACAAAGCCAGACATGAAAGGGAAGGAGCAATCTGGCAGAAAGAGCAAGGGAGCAGCTACTGCAAGCAGGAGCAAAAATCCTCCTGAGCAGAGGTTCAGCTTCCTCAACACCAGGAGTCCACCAGACTCCTCAGCTTTTTGGGTGAGCTTAAGAGTTTGCAAGATGAGGAAACCCAGTATTTTGTGGGGTCTTTTTCAGTTGCTTTTAAGGCTGCTGAGACCTGTCAGGCATTTACTGGCGATGGTGATGGTTAAACAAACACTTGTTTTAAAAATGAGAGAGCAGGATGCTCCAAGAGCCAAGATGGGGCTCTAAGAGATCACCCCTAGCCTGTGCGACTGGCAGACTGGCAGAAGTTGCTCCAAACTGGGAGCTCTGGGGAACATGGATATGCAGGACACGCGTAGCGCTGGAGGCAGGCGAGAAAGTCTTCTCCTGAGTGGCAGGTTGGGCAACAACAAGCCACATCTTTAGTTCTTTCCATTTTGGGGAGTTTGGATTCATTTTCTGGACTTCATTCTCGGAAAAGGATACCCAGGTGCCACCCATATCTAGCACAGTGACATCCCATCCTAGAAGGGGATACTCCCAACCTGATATTCAGGTGTCCTTCATTGCTGGCTGAGGAGAACAGACTTGAATCCATTGGAAGCCTCTGGCCTCTCTAATGTCCTCAGCCAACCTGAGAGGTCATCTTGGATGTTTCTGCAGGAAAGAACCTGCAGAAAGGACCTCAGCCTCTTCTGAGTGCCCTGGGAAGGGCAACGGGCTCCTGGCTGCTGGTGAGGGACCCACAAAATCCCTTTTGCCAAAGGGCCTAAGTGACTCCCCCCAGAGTGGGTATTTGGTTGTAACAGAGGACAGCGAAGGAAGCAGGAAACAGAGGGAGCTAAAAAGCCCCAATTCTCTCAAACAGCTCCAGGAAACAGTCTCCCTTCCCCAAGTCAGGTGTAAGCCAGGCTCTGCTTTCCCCGGGAAGAGCCGGAGCCCAACTTCAGCATGTATCCTGGCCTGCCTTCCTGAAACCCGAGCCATTCCCCACCCTGCTATGTCTCCTTGAAGGTGCTCCCGCTCTTCCTTTCTCCTTTTCTCTCTCTCTTCTTCTCTCTCTTTCTTCTCCTTCCTCCTCCTCTTCCTGCCCTTCCTTCTCCGTTCCTCTGCCCTTTGATTTTGAGAGAATCTGCCCCGGGATGGCACACAGGGAACACGGGGCTGCCTTCCCACGGCAGAGCTTCCAGCCAGCTCACATCTGACAGCAGCAACGGCCACAGGTGGAAGCGATGACAGTCTGGAGCCGCTCGGTTGATGGATGAGATTCTTCTTCTCTTCCTCCTTTTTTTTCTTTCTTTTACTTTTTTTTTTTTTTTTTTAAATTTACTAAACAAAAACTCATCTTCTCCCAAGCCTAAGGGAAAATTTCTCGTCTTTTCCCCATCACCCTTCATGGGAAAAGACGCAATATTCATTCATTTCATTATCATTTTTATTTTTTTTTTTAACTAACTAGCCAGCTCTTTACCTCAAAAGGCAATATTTATTTTGGGAATTTAATATATCCATCCTTACACTGGAAAGACAATACCAAGCAGGTATGTGAATTTATGACACTTTTTTAGGTCAGTGTGGTAGTTACAAATACCTAATGATTCGGCAGGGCGACGGAGATTGAGAAAAACGTAGTTTCTAAGGAGATGGTTTGAATAGCTGAAAAGCAGAAAGAAATCACTGCTAGAAAGCAGAAAGGAGAGATCCAGTTTGGGAAGAGTGAAACGCTAGCTCAGTTCTGGACTGAACATGTTTCATAATCTGTCAGACGGGAGGATTTTCCAATGAGGGAAAGGTGCTTTTTTGTCAGAATTTGCTGTGACGCCCGTTGTTTGGGGTGAGAACAGAGCCGGGGCCACCAGCACCCTCGGTCAGGTCCTTGTTTGTGCCAGCTCTGCTCCGGGTGCTTTGCGTGGTGCTCGGGGAACGTTCGGGCTGCCCATGGGACACGTTGTTTGTTCTATAGGTTGAGTGGGCGACTGCGTTCAGACCCGTGTGGTTTAGGAGAGGAGCTCAAAGGCACATCCAGCAGCTTCCCCAGGCTGCTGGGGTGCTTTCTGCTGCGCCAAAATGACGCACAAAGGCGCAGTAGATTTTAATTTATTATCAGTATTATCGATATCTAATCTATTCCCTGGTTTTCATAGATGGGAATTCTGAAATGGCCACAACCTGGCCATATTTAAGGGGGATCAGCTGAGTGTGGGGTGCGAGCTGGGTGTATGGAAGCTGGGTGTATGGAGGCAAAGGATGTGCAGAGCCGCGTCCCGGAGTCCTCTCGCTCGGCAGGGCAATGGTTAACCCCGGCTGCTGCCCCTGCCAGGGACAGGCCACAGGCCCTGGCTCCTCCACAGAAGCCACCTGTGATCCTCAAGGGTGCCGGAAAGGGGACGGCGGGGCAGGTTGGAAGGAGGGCGGGCGCCGGGGCCGGTGCGCGGCGCGTGCTGGCCCGCCGCGGCCTCGTCTGCCATCGTCAGCCCGTGCAGGCCCGCGGGGAGGGCCCGCCGGGACAAAAGGCGACATTATGCAGCGCGGAGCCTGGCTGCGCGGCAGATGAATGGAGTATTGAAGAACGCGGCGTCCAGGGCGGGATTGGTTTTCATGCCTCATACCGGAGCTGTCCGCGCTGGCCGCTCTCCTCCCAGGGCTTGCGCACCAGCGGCTGCACAGGGGCAGGGGGCTGCTGAGCGGGGTCCTACCTGTCCATGACGGCTCTGTCCTGCTCCGTGTGCTGAGGCTTCCACCAGCCATCTCCAGGGATCAGCATCTCATCTCTGGGATCTTCAGCTGGTGCAAAAATAACCCCAGCTTTGCTGTTGAGGCTTGGGTGCTCACTAGAAATTCCCTGTCCCAACCTCTTGGCTTGAAAGGCCTTGGTAAAGTTTTCTGGCAGTCCATCATTTCATGGAGACTTGCAGGTCTAATAGCAGGTCTCCAGCTCTTGGGAAGCTCTGGCTTAGCTTTACATCCTATGGCCTAGCTATGTCCCATCCATGGGATGGGACATGGGTCTCCTCCAGCACATCCTGATGCTCTCACAGTTAGTGCTGCCTCGGTTGGATGGCAGCAGAATTGCTCTAGATCTATAGAGGTGGAATTATAGAATCATTATGGTTGGAAAGGCCTTCGAGATCATCAAGTCCAACTGCAAACCTTTCCACACCATGCCAGGTGCAACACGGAGCAGGATTTAGCCCCCAGATAGATCTCTTTCTGGGTCCCCTTGAGAGCATAAATTAAACAGCACTAGAAATTCACCACTTCAACAGTAATTTATGAAGAGAGCAGTAAATGAAGGGGAAATTGCATCTTATTATTTTTAATCTCTTCCTCATTCTATCCCTGACATTCTCCTGTTTGCTTTCGAGCTTGTCCCAAGGGGGTTGGCACCTCCTCCCTGTCCTCATCAAGTGAGTGACGTTGTCACATCTCATCTGTGCTCCCATGGCCGTGGCTCTGCCTTCCCCTTCCCGAAGGGGAAAGAGGGGACGATTGGGGTCTCACAGGTTGAGCACCCAGATTCCTATGACCTTGCTTGCCAAGAAAGGAAGGAATTGTGTTCAGGATTAGCACAGGAATGGGCTGTGAGCTTGGGCTCTTGCTTTCTCGGAGCTTTTGGATCATCTGGATCTGTGCAAGATCAAGCACTTGAAAGTATTAATCCATCAGAGGTCACTGTGAGGGACCCAGTGATCGAGGTCTGGACAGACGGTTACATTCCTGGGATGGGCTGGGTGGGTGGCTCACATGCAGTCCATGAACATGCACCAGGAGGGGCCGCATCTGGAATCGCTTGGAAAAGAGCAGCAAAGAATTGCTTGCAAGAGTGGCAAAAGATTGGCTGGGAAGGGGCCTAGGAGTTTGTGGGATGGGGAGGCAGCTGCTTCAGGAGAAGAAATCACCTCTTCACCTGACAAAACACACGTGAAGAACTGCTAGGAGCCTAGAAACTCACTGGGAGGTGAGCACGAGAGAGATGAGCCCAAGGTTGGCCAAAGGACCTTGAGACCCTTTAGTGCTTGCCCCACTTGGTCTGCTTTGGCCATGTGTCCCATATATGTCATGTATAGCCCTAATGACTCCTAACACCGGGTCCTCCCGTTCCAGGAGCAGCTGCTGAGCCGCTTCTCCGAGAGCTGGGTGACCGTCCGTGGGACAAGCGAAGAGCCGAAATGAGCGTCGGTGCCTGCCCAGCGACACGGCAGCGAGCGTGGAGGCCAGACGCGTGGGCGCTGCGCGTGCCCTTGATGCCAGCCGCATTGCTCCTGCTCCTCAGCCCTGCTGGTGAGATACCCCCAGTCTAGCAGCACAGGGACAAGCCTTAGGCACTAGAGTTCCTCCTTCTGGCCTTGCCTTTGACCTGCCGAGTGACGTTTCCTTGATGTAGAGGCACAGGCAGGAGTGCCGTGATGTCCCCAGGGTGGGCATGGGTGCGGGCATTGCAAGAGGGAGCCAGTTCCTTTCTCATCTTCTGGCCTGAATGATGCATGATGGCAAGTTCAGCACCAGGGCTGCCTGGTGCCTGGTGGAGGCGGCTCTTGGTGATGGAGGCGATGCAGATGTGAACCTCAGAGCTCATGCCCAGCAGACCCCGGGGCCCTTGGCACTGCCAGGACACACGAAGGCGCTGACAGCCAAGGGACAGGTGCTGCCAAAGCCCATTTGCTTAGAGGCGATGGGCACGATGAGCACATGATTCCCAAAAAACCCACTCCGTTTGGTGTCCTACAGTGCTCCTGGTGGGCACGCAGACAGGAATAATATTAGGAATATTATTAGGGAATATTAGTGCTCCCCAACCTTGTTTATGCTGTTTGGAAAGCATTTAAGTTAAACCTGAAAGAATGATCCCTATTCCAGCCTGCAAGCGTCCACTGCAGAGCTGTGCTAGTGTAATTACACCAGTTTGACTTTATTAGTATAATTATAGCGATGCAGTTGGTAAAACCTTTCCGCCTCAGCAGAGCTCAGGCAAGACAAAGCAAGCTCGAAGCCAGGCAATTAAGGTGTAGTCAGACACTGTAATTGGATTAAATCAGTTTTAAAAGTTCCCACCCCCTCGGCTGGTGCCTCTCCTCCCCGGAGCTCCGAGCTGAGCCGTGGGGACTGTCCCCAGGAGCGTGTTTCGGTGCAGAATTAAAGCAGGTTGGTGCTCGCTCCTGCAACAGTCTCTGATCCGAAGCAGGTGTGTGTCACCTTCAGCCACCTCTGGGGGTGGCAAGGACAGCCCCAGGCTGTTGCGTGTGTTTGGGGTGATGCTGCCCTGGTCTTATGCTGCCTGTCCCCCGGGAGCGCCTGCTCTGCGCTCGGAGCCGCTCCGGGCAGGACCCATGGGCTCCGGCCTCTCCGTCCCTTTGGTGAATGGGCTCAGCTAAGCGATAATGAGGGATGGTTTTTCCTCCCCTTCAGTGGGTTTATTTATAAACGAGCCCTGAAAGGGGCTGTGTTTACTTTGAGCTAGTCTCTCTCCTTTTTTTTTTCTTTCTGGCTTTGTGAAGATGGATCAGAGAAACCTGGGAGGCTTCATCTATTCTGCAGAAATACCATTTTCCTCATTGATGTACAAATATCAGGACAATTTCTTCTGGTCCCTCTTGACTTTGCTGCAGGATGCTCCAAAAGGAGCATTTCAAAGCATTGACTTTGACCCAAGGGTCATGGATGCTGCGTGGTGATCAATGCTACCTCCACCCACGGCGTTTTAGGCACTGGAACGAAACAGATGTTAAAAAAACAGCGCAGAATCAAGCACTTTTCCCCAAAAGCCCTTGAGGTTTTGGTGCTGCGGTGACCTGCAGCCCGGGCATGTGTCCCCAAGGATCCCGACCCGGGTGCTATGGGATTCTCCGCGCGGCAGCTGCCCAGCTCAGCTTGGCTGCAGCCGGTGCTGCTCCGCTCCGCAGCTAATCCCGGGAACGGCTGGCAGGCCGGCCCTGCTGCGTGTTGCTAAGTGATAATTGCCGTGACACGGCTGTTTCACTGCCGTTTCTCAGGGGGCCTCCGCGTCTTTCCTTGATGGCCCTTTTTTGTAGCTGGCTGAACACGCTGCCAGGCTGCATCCGAACAAGGCAAAAGGGACGGCGCGTTCCCGCGCTCGACCTGCCCCTGCGGGTCGGTGCTATCTTGCTTCCCGTGGCCGCGATATCCGCCCTTGCAGTGACAGCCCCTGACTTTTATGGTGCTGCTCCTGGGAGAAAAGACGGAGCTGGAACAAGCTGCACGGGGCTGGCTCGAGCCAGGTGGAGGAAGAGCGGTCACGGAGCCAACAAGGGTTTATTGATGGGCTTCTGGTTGCTATAATTAACGTGGGGAGGTTAATTTGCTTGGAACACGTGGTGCAGAGGGAAGAGGTTTGGAGTCTCCACTTTCAGCTGGAGGCTTTCCGTTCGGGAACGTAGGGCTGGGCTTTGACTCCGGCAAGCCGGGTGCTCACTGAGAAGTGCTCACCATCGAATTGCCTTGCGAGGGGTTGGACCCACCTGGGGGGTCCTGTGGGGTCTGTCCAGCAGCAGGACATGGGGACACCAAGGGCCTCTGGGGTGTTCTGCTTCCCCTGCCCACGGCATTCTTAAGGCTGAGCCGCAAAGCAGGAACTGTCAGGGAATCCATCGGCTTCTCCGGAGCCTCCAGCCCCAACACCCTGTAGGGCTGGCTGCAGCCTGGCCGTGCCAAGCTTGCCCGAAAAACAGGAGTTGGGAAGAAACAGAAGAAGTGCTGGTGTTTCTCATGTCCCCTCTGACCTGGAGCAGCAAGGAACTGTTTTTCTCCGCCTACAAGGTTAGCAATTTGTGAATGAAAGTGAGACTTTTTCTCCTCCCGGGACTCGAGGCAAGCAGGACTCGAAGGGCAGCCCTGCATCTCGTGATGGGGTCACCAACCCGGCGCTGCCCTTGCTGAGCCTCCCGGCAAGCAGGAAGGGGCTGCCTGGCTTTCCAGCAGCCCTCAGCTCAGGAGGGAGAAGCTGCAGCAGCCCGTGGAGGTCACAAGTCACAGTGTCCCAGGGTGCTGCCCACTCCTCCCCGTTGCTGGGAACCAGTTCTGTTTAACTGGGAGAACAAACGAGGAGCCCCTCCTGTCCCCGGCTCCGCAGGGGTTGTGGCAGAGGGTTTCTGAGGCTGCCCCTTGTTAGAGCCTTGGCAGCCCTTCCCGGGCTCCTGTTACCAGAGGGATCAGTTACCAGCAGAGGATTCTTGGCCTGGGCCGTTCTCCTTGCTCCTCTTCACTCTCTCTCCAGTTAAGTCACGTTTTTAATGCCCCTCTTCTCATTTCTCTGGATGCATCCAGGCCATCCCTGCTGCGGCCAAGGGAGAAGGATCCCAAGGGCCTTCTCTTTTCTCTGGTTTCCTGAGAAAACTGAAGCTAGTGGGTCCCTCCATGCTCAGGACCAGGGTGTAAGACATTGCACAAGAACTGTGATTTTTGGGGACTGTATTTGTAGCTTGTAACCAGCCGGTTGTTTTGCTTGGGAGACAAGTGTGTGAGGATGCAGGCTGCTGGTTGGGGCCTGAGTCTCCGTTAACTTCCCTGCTGAGCAGGGGAGCACATGGATACCCCCAGGTGCCGGCACCTCCCAGAGCAGGGTGGCTGGTGCAAGCCCATGGGTGCACATGGGTGTCCTGGTACAGCTGCAGCCCCTCATGCGAGCTGGAAAACGGATCTCACCCTGCTTTGCACAGCCTCAGGAGCAATAACCCGCGTGCTGCAGGGACTGCCTGCAGCTCCCCTGCACGTGCAGGCTGCCCGGGCTGCCTCCGGGGATGCACCGCTACGTGCATGCAGCTATCCAGCTTGCAAAGAGCACTGCCCGCAGGGTGGAGAAGGCATCTAGAAACACCCAGCGCAGCATTTTCCACCAGTAGAGCATCCCTGGGCTTCCTGAGGCAGGCGGAATCGTCTCTCCTCATCCCCACGTCCTCCCCCAGCTTTTCAGGTGGGGAAATGGAGGCCTGGGGAGGAGCACGAGGAGGCATCAATCGAGGAGCAAGCAGGCAACAAAGCCAGGAATAGACACCGAGTCCCCGGAGAGCCGGCCCTGCTGCATCCGCTCGGGCCTGCTGCTGTCACTCCGCGTCTCCATAACGCTGGCGGGGAAACAAGGCCGGGAGGGGAGAGCAGAGAGGGAGAAAAGGCTCCTCCTGCGCGAGAGCATGCGCTGCCGCGGCACGAGCCGGGGTCCACGGAGCTGCTAACAGCGAGCTCCCGTTCCCTGTAAGGAATCCAGAGGGCTGCCCATGCACCAGCGACTGGAGACGTGGATGGTGGCGAGGGGACCTCTGCAGAGCAGCGGGGTCGGTCCTGCAGCGATGCCCTCCCGGCCACCGCGCCGAGCGGCCTCCTCCTGCTGCTGCCAGGGCACCGGGCACATCTAACCCTTCCTTCCTCTGTTGCAGGCAACACCTCCGAGCCTGCCCAGCCGCCACTCCCAGGTGAGAGCTTCCCCTTCGAGCTGTGGGTTTCGTTTGTTTTGAAAGGTTTGTAGTAGAGAAAGATGCATTTCTGTAAAAACGGGGGTTAGGGAATCTCAAAAAGAGCTCAGATTGGTTTTGAACAACAAAACCGCAACAAAAAGCTAAATTTCACTTTAAAAAAAAAAACAGAGATTCTCTATTATCCCAATTCTGCTTGTTATCAGAAGAGGAAAATGTTGCCACCTCCTGCTGACTGCCTGTCATTGTGTCCCTCCTCACGCCCAAGTGAGTCACTCGCTCCACGCTGCACGTCAGGGTCACTGACACACGTGTCCCCTCTCACCAGTGGTTTGAGAAATCATTTCCATGCCACCAGTTCCCGCCCGGGGACGGCTCTGGGCATGTCTGTGGCAGCTAATACCATCTTGCCAATTGCATCTTACCACTTGTCCCCAAAGTCATGTGCCGTGATGCCACACGGCAGCTTCCCCCTTCTCTTGGGAAGCTTCTCGTCTTATGCAGAGCGGTATCAAGCACTTGCACCCAACAGAAACCTGCTTGTCACCATCAAATGGGCAGCAGCAAGTTAGCAGACGACTTGTGTTATAGCTAATGGAGTCGCCTGATTAGTTTAATTAGCAGAAAGCTCTGATTTCCCTCAGAAAGGTTTGGCACCCGCTCCGGGGTATCTCCGGGACAGCTGTGCTCGCCGTCGTTGCCCGCTGAGCGCTCTTTGCGGCCCCTTTTTCCAGAGATTCGCCTTGCCAACGGGCCGAGCCGGTGCCAGGGGCGCGTGGAGCTCCTCTACAACGGCTCCTGGGGCACGGTGTGCGACGACGACTGGGACATCGTGGATGCCAACGTGGTGTGTCGCCAGCTGGGCTGCGGCCACGCCGTCGCCCTGCCGGCCCCCATGACCTTCGGCCAGGGCAGCGGGCCCATCTTCCTGGACAACGTGGACTGCAAGGGCCGCGAGGCGGCTCTGAGCGAGTGCTGGAGCCACGGCTGGGGCATCCACAACTGCTACCACTACGAGGACGTGGCTGTCATGTGCAGTGGTAACCAGGCTAGGCCCCACCGCGGCTAGGAGGGGATGGGGGTGTTAGGAGGGTTGCAGTTAGGAGTCTCTGGAGACCCTCTGGGGTTGCCCGGCAGTCAGTCGTATCTCAGAGCTCCTCCTTGGATCAGTCCAACTGCCTCTATGTCTTCTCTCTACTCCCCTTTTCAATCCAGGTCATCTCTCCATCACTTTGGTGCTCCCCAGGGAGACCAGTCTGCTCTGTATCCCTGCTCCCTGCCAGGTCAGGGGCGTCTCATCCTCTCCAGAGGGATCCATGGGGAAAGAGCACGTGCCCAGCTCCGCTGCTTGCTGAGTCAGCTGCAGCCCAAGTGCTTCTCCACCTCTTGACTGCTTCTCTTTGTATTGCTGAGCTTTTCGGTAGCAAATGTTCCTAAAGGCGAGAAAAGGAGTGGAAAGTGTTTGAACTTGACATGCGAAAGTGGAACACCTCCATGCCAAGCCCTCCGTAGCATCCCCATTTGCTCTTTACCACTGTGGTACAGTTTGTTCATTGGATATAGAATTGTCTGCTGTGTTTCAGCATCGGACATGGGCGTGAGGATGTGCAGACCCCGGAGCCACAGCCGCTCCGTGAATCCGCATTTCCCGCAGAAGGAACTCACGGCATCTCTCCTTTGCAGAGCTCTCGCCCACGCAGGCCAGCGAAGGCCCGACCAGCAGGACTCTCGCGGCCTCCGTGCAGCAAGGGCAAAGTAAGCAGCTCTGCCCCGGCTCCCCTTGCGCACGCTTTGCTGCAAGGATCCTCTTGCGAGAGGCTGGTGGAAAACAGCACTTTGTCCCCAAACCTCCTCCCCCTGCAAGCCTCCAGGAATGAGCCCAAACCCTCCACGTGAGAGGGGAAGCTGTGGGGTCTCCACTTGGGGCCTGCTGCCTCCTATCACAGAGGGTTATGGAGGCAGCCAGGAGATGGAGGTTCCTCACGGGCACCATGAGATCCAGGCTCCCTTTCCGCCCCGGCATGGGTGCCCAGGGTGGGAGCCGCTGTCCCCACGTGCTCTCGCCCCGCAGGGGACGGCAGCATCCGCCTGGTGAGTGGCGCCGACGGCTGCCAGGGCCGCGTGGAGATCTTCTACCGCGGCCACTGGGGCACCGTGTGCGACGACGACTGGGGCCTGAGTGACGCCGGCGTGGTGTGCAGGCAGGTGGGCTGCGGCCAAGCCCTCCATTCCAAGAGCAACGCCTATTTCGGCTACGGCACGGGCCACATCCTCCTGGACAACGTCAACTGCGACGGCAGCGAGCCCTTCCTCGCTGCCTGCTACAGCCTCGGCTGGGGCATCCACAACTGCGGCCACCACGAGGACGCCGGGGTCATCTGTGCAGGTAGCGGAGCCCCGGGGACCATCCCCGCGCTGGGGGAAAATGGGGGGCTCCAAAGGGGAACGGAGCCATGGAGGGGCACCAACACGGCAGGTCAAGCACGCAGGTCCTCGGGGAGCTCCTGGCCGCCGCAGCATCCCTTCCCTTACCTGCATGTGGGATGAACCGCAGCACGGAGCGGCTGGGCCGTGTCTGAGCAGCATCGTGCAAGGGAAACGGCTCTGCCTGTGGTTTCCCTGCTCTCCTTGATGCAAAACAAGCTGCCTGGCTCGGAAGCCAGCGAGCGGCTGCCAGCACAGGGGCCCGCTGCCCGGCCTGCCTTTCTCCTCTCCTCTCTAAATTATGTATTTCTGTCATTATCTGCTGATTACCATTTATAATGTTAATAATCCCCCTGAATTCCCTCATTATCATGGCTAATGACTGAAGCACTGAGTGCCACTGCTCTTGCTTGGCCTCTGTTAACCAACAAAGCGGCTGATGGGGCAGGAATGGGCAATTTGCCCCAGTCGCTGCTTTCTTACCCCAATCCTTTGAGCTTCCTCCGTCCCCTTGGCACCAGCTTGGGAGGCTTGGAAAAAACAAGGTCTGCTTGCTGGGATCCCACCACGAGCATGCCTTGAGCCTGAGAAATTCCAGCTCCAGCCATTCTCTTACCAGCTAAGCACTAAAGCCAAGTGCCCCTGGTGCCAGTGGCAATACCTGGGTAAAGGGGGTCTATCCTGCTGCCTCCAGACCCTGTTCACCCGTGTCCTGCTTCTCATGATGGAGCTGGAGAGCTCTCCGTGTGCTCCCTGCGCGCGTAACCTCCGCCCCTCCGCTTGCTGCAGGGCTGGACGTGTCCACGGTCACGTCCTTCACCACCTCGGCGGCCCCGGAGCACGCAGAGACGCTCACGGCCACGGCCACGGGTGGGTAGCACAGCCCTGGCGGAGGGGCAGCGCCTCCTCCTCCTCCTCCTCTTCCTCCTCGTGGGGTTTGTCCCGAGGGCGCCGTGCCCCGCGCCGGGCGGGCGCAGGGGGCGGTGGCCGTGGGCGCTGCGCCCCAGCGCCCGCCCGTGCCCCTGTGCTCGGCTCAGCAGCCACGGACGAGCGCGAGCAGCCCTCGCCGGCCACCGAGGCGCTCACCACGGCTCTCCTCACCCTGGAGCAGGACAGTAAGTGTGCGGCTGCCCCAGCGTGTGCCGGGCTTCCTCCTGCCAGGCCTGTCCGCAGCCTCAGGAGCTCCCTTCACTAGCCCGAGGTGCAGACCCGGCACTGCCCCGCTCGGCAGCGCCCGCGTGGCACCGATCCCGGTGGGTGGGTGCTGCAGCACGTGGGCCCCCTCCATCACCAGCGTGCCCCGAAACAAGGGCAGCAGCTGCCAGGGCGCTGCCGAGCCCCCGGCTGCAGCGGGAACGTGCCCTGCACCCCCAGAGCTCACCCCGAGCCTTGGGGGTCTTCCCCCGGCACCCGGAGGGTCTCCGTGCCCTCCGTGCCCTGTCCTCTAAGGGCCCCGTGTCCTAGTGCTCAGTCCTGTCCCCACGAGCTCTCCCGCTCCCCCTGGGCTCACCCTGCGCTCCAGGGGTGCGCACACCCCTAGGTGCTCCCATAGGGGATCTGCCAAGGCACGCCCCATACCCCCAGGGCTCACCCCATGGTCCCACGGGTCACCCTACACTGCCAAGGGGCATCGCGTGTCCCCAGGGCTTACCCCGCATCCCCAGGGCTCACCTCATGCCCGCAGAGGGTGCCCTGCATTCCCAGGGGATCCCCCAGCTCCCCAGCGCCCACCTCTCGCCCCCATGGGTCACCCCATGCTGCCAGGGGACCACCCCTCAGCCCCAGGCATCCTTTGGGGGTCACCCCACACACCCAGAGGGTCACCTCACAACCCGAGGGGCTCACCCCACATCCCCAAGGCTCACCCCACACCCCATGGATTACCCCCTGCTGCCAGGGGATCATCCCCCAGGCATCCCTAGAGAGTCAGCCCGCATCCTTAGGGGCCATCCCATGCCCCTCGGGGCTCACCCCCACACCCCATGGGCTACCCCACACTGCCAGAGGACTACCCTGCTTCCCCTCTGCAGCCCCAGGGGGTCACCCCACCTCTCCAGGGCTCAGGTAGCACCCCCCCGGTTTACCCCTGTGCCAGGGGATCACCCCCCTGCCCCTCAGGTATCCCTAGAGGGTCACCCCACATCCCAAGGACATCGTCCCACTTTCCCAGGGGCTAACTCCACATTCCTAAGGGCTAGCCCCACACCCCTAGATCATGCCACATTCCTAGATCACCCCACATTCCCAGGGCCTAATCCCACACCCTTAGATCACCCCACATCCCTAGATCACCCCACATTCCCAGGGCCTAATCCCACACCCCTAGCTCACCCCACTTCCCAAGATCACCCCACATTCCCAGGGGTTCACCCCACACCCCTAGCTCACTCCCCATTCCCAGGGGCTAACTGCGCTCCCCAGGGCTCACCTCACACCGCTAGATTGCCCCATATTCCCAGGGGCTCACCCCACACCCCTAGCTCACTTCCCATTCCCAGGGGCTAATCCCACACCCCTATCTCACGCCCCACATTCCCAGGGGCTCACCCCACATCCCCACACGCCGCGGGCCACCCCCTGGTTCCAGGGTCTCCCTTCTCCCCGCCGCGCCCCCGGGGTGTCACCGCGTGCCCCCAGCGGATCCCCCGGTGGCGGGACAGCGTGTGGCGGTGCGGCGTGTGCCGTGCGGGGCCCGTCCGCAGGCAGCAGCGTGCGGCTGGCCAACGGCAACGGGAGCTGCCGCGGGCGCGTGGAGGTGCGGCACGGCGGCGCCTGGGGCACCGTGTGCGACGACGACTGGGACCTGGCGGACGCGCGCGTCGTGTGCCGCGAGCTGCGCTGCGGCGCCGCGCTGGCCGCGCCGCGCCTCGCCGCCTTCGGCTACGGCAGCGGGCCCGTGCTGCTCGACAACGTGGGCTGCGGCGGCGGCGAGGCGCGCCTGGCCGACTGCTTCCACCTGGGCTGGGGGCAGCACAACTGCGGCCACCACGAGGACGCCGGCGTCGTGTGCCGCGGTGAGCGAGGGCGCCCGCGCTGGCAGCTTGCTGGGAATCACGGGATCATTGTGGTTGGGAAAGACCTTCAAGGTCGTCGAGGCTGGCCATAAACCCATCCCTGCCATGGCCATGAAACCAGGCCCCCAAGTGCCTCCTCCACACATTTATTAACACTCCGCAGGATGCGTCTACCTGGGTCATGTGTTCCCATGTTTCACCGCTCCTTCTTCATGACTCTTCTGTTTGGGGAGGTGGTGTCAGATCCCGCTGCCCAGGGCCATGTCAGGGCTCCCTCACAGCCTTCCCAGTGGCTTTGGAGTGCCAAAAGACGCTAGGTCTACCAAGGGTCTTGGCCCCACGCTGACCATGGGGACGGAGCCCACGCCTGTCCTCTGCAGGCCACACACTGTTGTGCTGGGCCTCCAACGTGGCCCTGGAGAGCACAGCTCCCTCCTTAGTCCCTTTTCTCCCCCTCTCCCTGCTGTGCCAGGCCCTGACGACTCAGGGGGTGACTCCCAAGAAGCTACTTTCACAACCACCACGTTGGCCCCGACTCATCCCGAGGATGGTAGGTATCTTGCGCGGCCAGGAGGGCTGCTGGGAGAGGGTTGGAGCTACGCCTTGGTGGAGAGTAGACACGGAAGTGGTTTGCGAGGAGGCCAGCAGCTCTAACGGCGGCTGGAGTGCCCATCCGCAGCAGCCCAGTTGTGGGGGACAAAACCTGCCCTCGCGGCTCTCCCAGCAACATTAAACTGTGTGTCTCGGAGCAGAACACCCCTGCCTGCTGCTGCCACCTCCTGGTCCTTGCAGTGTCCCCAGAGGGGGCAAGGCAGGTAGCACACGGGTGGGGGCATGGCACCAACGTTGCTGAGCCAGCAGCACAACCTGCCCCTCCTCGAGCCTGAGCTTGTGCTTCCCAGCTCCAAGCGCTGGTCCCTTGCTTCTCCCCACCATGACTCTTTTGAGGTCAGACCCAGCTCTGATGTGACCTGTGGGCATCCTCAGCAAGGAGGTGACACCAGTGCTGTGCGGAGCAGCACCCAGCTGCCCTGCCGTGGAGAGGCTGCCTGGAAAAGCAGGACAGACTGCAGCCTGCTGCAAGGAGCACCCTTCCCCACAGCCATGGGAAAGCAGCCCCCTTGGCAGCTAGTAATTACGGATAATTAATGATGGGGCTGAAGGAGCGGCAGCTCCTCGCCCTGCTCCAGGGCAGCAGGACAGATCCGTAGGGTGCAAGAAGTCCCAGACAGATCCGTAGGGTGCAAGAAGTCCCGCAGAGCAGCGGCCGTGCCCCGAGGGCGCCGTGGCCGCCCCACCGCGCTGTCCCCTCCGCAGGCTTCCTGCGCCTGGTGAACGGCAGCCACCGGTGCGAGGGCCGCGTGGAGATGTTCTACCTGTCGCAGTGGGGCACGGTGTGCGACGACGCGTGGGACCTGCGCGACGCCGGCGTGGCGTGCCGGCAGCTGGGCTGCGGGCGCGCCGTGGCCGCCTGGGGCGAGGCGCGCTACGGCCAGGGCGCCGGCTACATCTTCCTCGACAACCTCAAGTGCAAAGGCACCGAGGCCTCGCTGCTGCGCTGCTCCCACATCCGCTGGGACGTCCACAACTGCGACCACTCGGAGGACGCCGGGGCGCTCTGCAGCCTCCGATGACCGTCCCGGGGACGCTCCCGGGAGCTGGCACAGGTACAGGGGGGACGCTGGGATGCCACCGGGCTTGCACGCGTGTTCGTGCGAGGGCTGCATCCATCCTGGAGCTTTCCTTGTCCTCCCCTCTGTGAGCTGGACGTGGGCAAGCCTGGAGGATTGAGTGCTCGGACATGCCAGGGTGGTGGAGGAGATGGGGAGCGTAGGAGGGTGCCCAGAGCAGGGACTTGCCTTGGGAGGTGGGGTGGGACCCAGGGGAGCGGGATGGAGCCCTGGGTGCTGCAGGTGTATGCAAGGAGATGGAGGGGAGGCAGCGCCTGCCGGGGAGGAGTCCCGGGACTCCAAAGGGCTTTTTAATCTAGCCGGAGAAAAGCAAGAATATAAATCAAACAGACAGGAGCCACTGCCAGGCACATTTAAATGAGACATTAGGTGTGTTTCTAGCCCAGTTTCCCAGGGAAATGAGGCTTAGGCAATCACGTCTGCACGCGTGTGTCTGTCTCCTGAATCTGTTGCTGACTTCACCCATGTTGGACAGAAGGCTGTAGGTCTCCGAGCTCGTGTGTTCCCATTAATGCCTTTAAAATAGGCAGCGGGCAGACGAGAAGGCCTCTCCTGAACGGGAAAAACCTACTGAGCTCAACACTTTATAAGACATCAGAGAATCCACACTGGTGAAGCCAGGCTTTCCGCACTCCCTGTGCGCTCCAATGGGAGCCACCCACCACAGCGGGACCAGGCCCAGGCTCTAGGGCTCCCTGTCAGAAACCTGGAGCATTTGCCTCCCTGCCTGTCCCTGCTGGGGACAAGGTGCATGGTTGGAGCTTCATGGGTGAAGTTGAAACTTTTCCCTCTAGGCCTCCTTTTGGGGAGAAAAAAAGAAAAAAACACAAAACCAAAGCTGTTTGTGGTGTGAAATTGGGTTGGTTTCACCCACCTCATTTAAAAGATGAGAGAAAAATGGATTTTCTGCTCTAAAATACACTGGAGCTTTTACTTGGGAGATGCAAAACTGGGATGAAATAAAACCCCAGAATCTTCCAGCTGCTCGGAAATGAGTTGCTGGCACTTTCAGTTTGCTTTGCAAAACACCCAGTGATCAAAATATGAGAGTTTGGGGGCTTTTTGTGCCGCTTTGGTTGGAGGAATAACCCAAAGCAGCCCCAAAGTGCAGCGGACGCTTCCCCGGGGTCCCGGCGTGGGCACTGCCGTGGGGCTCATGCCGCCCGCCTTGCAGCAAAGCCCCTTTCCCTCCTCAGGGCCCTGGCACCATCCTGCGCAGCCCAGGCCCCAGCGGGCACCAGGACGTGTCTGTGACTCCCTCGGGAACCGGCGACACCGTCTTTTCCACTTGCGTTTACTGGGGGCGAGGGAGGGGAAGGGGCCGCTGGGCCCCAGGGTGGCTCCCGGCTGCTCCCTCGGTCCGATTTGTACAATTCTGCCAATCTCGAGGGCTTGTGCACATTCCAAGTTTTCCCCTTTTCTTACGCATTTTGGGCGTTTGTTTTGTGAATAAATAAAAGCCCATTTAAGGTGTGCTGAGAACGGGCGCGCTCATTCCCCTCGGAGAACCTCAAGGACACGACGATGGCAAATGGCCCAGGAGCAGGTGCCGAGGTGGGAGCAAAGGGAGCACAGGGCTCCGTGGTGGCTGCAGGAGGCTGCAAAGCCCTCAATTCCTGCCCTGCTTGGCCCTTCCCAAAGCCCTCAATTCCTGCCCTGCTTGGCCCTTCCCAAAGCCCTCAATTCCTGCCCTGCTCGGCCCTTCCCAAAGCCCGCAATTCCCGCCCTGCTCGGCCCTTTCCGGCGCTCCGGGCTGCCTTTGCCGGGCTCGCGTGGGCGGCGCCGCCGGCTCTGTGGTGCTCAGGGCGGCGTGGCCGGCCGGCAGTGCACGTTCCCGCCGGAGCGCCGGCGCCGCGGGAGCAGCCTGGACGCGGCAGTGGCTGCAGTGTGGGGAGGTGCCGGTGCTTTCAGCGCTGCGCCGCTCCGAGGATGCTCCCGAGCCCCCGGGAGGCTCCGTTCCCGCACGCTGGCCATGAGCAGCGGGATAACATCCCACCTTGCTCCCGGCCGGGAGTTCCACCTGGGGGGGAGGCTGAGGCACCGGAGCCTCTTGCAGCCCTTCGCATCAGGCGCGGGCCGAGCTGCAGCCGGGTGCTCCCCCTGGGCAGGGAGCGTGGAAATGATCTGGTTTCTCCCTTTCCAGGCTCCAGCGCGGCCGCCTGTCCTGCTTACAGGGCAGCTGCCGGGGCCCGCTGGGCACCGAGGGGATGGAGCGGGGGCTCCCTAATGGGGAGGGATGGGATGGGATGGGATGGGCACCGGGGCGCCCGGGGGCGGCTTTGGCTGCTCCTGCCCGTGCTGCACATCCCTCCTTGCCAGCGGCAGCCCGGCCAGCAAAGGGTTTGCAGGCGGGGACGCTGCCGCAGCCGCCTCCGCCCCCGGCAGCCTCTGCAGTGCTGCTTGCTTCCTCACGGGAATGGGAATGGGAACGGGAACGTGCCAGCGCGGGGCTTCCCCCACTCCTTGGCTCGGCGCAGCCGGAGGAGCGGGAACTGCAGCCCCGGATGGGATCAGGACAGGGAGCAGCCGGGAGCTGCAGGGGCCGGGTGCTGCCTCCAGCGTCTCGCTGCAGAGCCCGGCCGAGGCCGGAGCGCCCCGAGCCTCCTTCCTTCTTGCCGAGCTCAGCTGTTCCTCCCTCCCTGCCTTTCCTCTCCCTCCGGCCCGGAGCAGCTGTAGTTCTGCTCTGATCGATGCCATCGATTGCTTCCCTTCTCCATCGCGGCAGAAGAGCCGGTGCGGGGGGGGCTGGAGGCCGGGGGGAGGCCAGGGAGCGGGATGAATATTTCACGAGGCCCTGGCAAAAGCTGGGGTTATTTTGGGGCTCGGATTTATGGCCTATTAGGAATAAGGAATGAGTCTGTGCTGGGGAGAGGAGACCCATTAATCCGGGCTGAAGGAGCACAAATGAGCAAGGGGAAACGGAGGAGGTTTTAATTATTTCGCCGGGCTCCAGAGGAGCATCGCGGGCGCCGGGCAGGTGGTCGGCGAGCGGCTCCGCGGGAAGCGGGGCCCGGGAAGGCCGTGGGAAGCGGCGTGAGGCCAGCGGATGGTTTGGGGGCTCCTCCCTGGGCGGCGAGGGCTCCATGGGGTGCCCTTCCCAGCCCTGGGCCTGCCACGTGCCTGCCGGGCAAGGCCGCGTGGGCCGGTAACCGGAGCGGCCGGGGAGCCCTGGCCCGAGGCAGCCCCGGCCCGGACGCTGGGGCCCACAGCACCGCCTGGGTGCCCTTGGGCTGCGTCCGCTGGGGGCCTTAGTGCTGGCTGTCCCTGTGCTTCGCGTGCCTCAGTTTCCCCAGCGCTGCACGGAGCTGGTGTCCAGGGCCCGGCTCTCTATCCTGGAATGGGGCAATGCCCCCGGCACCCACAAGGTTATTTGGGTGCGTGGGGACGTGGCGGCTCCCAGGCTTTGGGGGCAGCTCGTGCCCGGGTGCAGCTCTGCCCCGTCCCCACCGCGGCTGCTCCAGGGGGTCCAGGGCCACGGGGGGTGCCCAGCGCCCCCCCCAGCATCGCGTCCCCCCCGGCGCCGCTGCCCGGCCGCGCCGCGCGGTGACGTCAGCCCACCGGAGCCGGCGGCTATTTTGGGAACTGCAAAGTCACTGGTGCAATTAGTGCGCCGGCACCGGCGGCGGCGCCGCGGAGCCTGCGGGGCCTCTCCCTGCGCCCGCGGCCTCCCGCCGGGCCCACCTTGCAAACGGGCCCGGCCCTCAGCTCCCCGTTCCCTTTTTCCTCCGTTTTTTTCCACTCCCCATCCGGAGCGGCCGGCGTGGGAGCTAGTGGTGAAGCGCTTCCCATGGCGGTGCCCACGGCTCTGTGGCTCCGGGCGCTCACACAGCGCGAGGGCACCCGGGATGCTGCGTGGGGGGACGAGGCAGGTGCCTCCCAGCCTCAGGCGCCAAAAATCGGCAGATTGCTTTAAAAATCCCCGGAGCTGCCCACGTGACCCCCGCGCCCCATCCCCCACAAGAAAGGAGAGAAAGGGAAAAATATCCTTTTCCCTAAAGCCTGGAAAAGGCTGGAAAGGGGCTGCGGGCGCCGGGTGTCCGCAGCAGCCCCGTGCAGGGGCCGGGCCGCGGGGGCACCACGGAGGGCAGCGGGCAGCGGCGCCGCACGGGCCGTGCTGACTCACGCTGCGGAGCCGCGGGCAGCTCCTGATGGCCCCGGCGTGGATGGGACACCCTGGAGAGGATGTGACACCCCGAGGTGGATGGGACACCCCGGGGTGGATGGGACGGCCCTGGGGTGCCTGGGGTACATGTGACACCCCGGGGTGGATGTGACACCTCAAGGTGGATGTGACACCCCGGGGCAGGGAGCCGGTCACTGCCTGCGCCTTGCAGCCAGCCCCGCACCCCCGGCCCTCCCCTCGGAGGACAGGGTGCCCAGGACAGGGTGCCCGCGGCGGGTGTCCCCATCCCCACTGCAAGGTGACCCCGGCACCAGGATGGCCCCCAGTCTCCCTGCCAGCTCCCAGCCCCACGTCAGGCCCATAAGGAAAAGGCAGGATCCCATGACAGAGCGAAACAGAGGCAGGATCCTGGCAGCCCTCGTGGCTCCAGGGGACCCCATGGGGCCCCCATAGGGCAGGGGCGCCCATGGGTGCTGGTCTCCCTTCCCGGGGCGCCCGCGGCTGTTTCTAGGCCGCCGCCGCGCGCCGTCTGGGCGGTATTTATACGGCTCCTTAAATAAGAGCTGCCGCCCGCGCCAGCCCCGCTCGCCTGCTGAATTATTAACGCGGCGGAGGCGGCGAGGCCGAGCCCGGCCCCCGCGCCCGCCGCGCGCCCCGCCGCCTCCCGAGGCCGCCGAGCCGGGGGGTATGGAGGAACGGGGACAGGGAGGGACGGGGCCGTGCCGGCTGGTGGCCCCAGCTCCTGCGCCACTGCCACGCCATGTGCCACCCACCAGGGCCACGGCCCCATCTCCATCCCCGGCCCCATTCCCATCCCTGTCTGCATCCCTGTCTCCATCCCCGTCTGCATCTCCACCCATCTCCATTCCCAGCAGCGAGGAGGAGCCGCATCCCAGGGTGGGAGGGAGCTGGTGCTTGGCACCCATAGGGCGTTGGGGAGCCCCGCTCTGCCATCCTGCTGCGGGTGCTGGGATTTGCTGGGAAATGCCCCATTCTTCCTGTGTGCTCCCGGGAAGGCCGCTGGGCACGTGCGGGTGAGCAGGGCTAGTGACAGCAAACGGCACCAGAGCATTCCCCTCGGAGCTACCGGCACCGGAGCATCCCCCCTTGGAGCATCCATCACCGGAGCAGCCCCCTTGGAGCTCGGGAGAAGAGCCCCGAGGTGCCTCCAAACCCTCTGCGCACGTTTGAGAAGCGAGGCCAGCAAGGACGTGGGGAGCGGGACTCGTCTTCCTGCTGCAGCAGTTCCCACAGTGGCACCCGTGGGTGCTCCACAATTATTCCAACCTTACAGAATAAGGGCTATTCGTTTTAGGGGGGGACATCTGCAGAGCAGGCCCCCATCCTTGGGGTGTTTGGAACTTCCTGAAGCCGGTCTGGATCCGCGACTGGCAGAAGTGGGAGGAGGCTGCGCGGGATTCCGGAGCAGGGAAAACCTCCCCCCCCAAGGCTGCCTCCCCCGAGCAATCCCAGTCCGTAAAGCGGAGTAATTAAGTGGCGCGACAAGAACTGATTTATGTCGCAGAGCCCCCAACGGGGCCTGGGTTCACTGCAGATAAAAATTATGGCAAAATCGCTATTCCGAAGAATTTACAGCGTTATGAATATTGCATTCTGGCCTGTGATGGGGAAGGGAATCGTCCGCATTGTGATATTTATTTATCGCTATGGTGCTTTGACAGGTATAAATCAGCATTGGTGCGGTTGCCATAAATAGGCAGAGCTGCAAGAATTCGGCCTAGCTGAGAATCTGCCTCATTTATGTAAAATACTAGAGAAATGTCATAAGGTTTGCATGGAGAGGCATTATTTTTTATTAGGCCAGAAGATATATTTGGAAAAAAAAAACAGACAAGCTTCAAGGCACACAAGCTCTTCTTCAGGTCTAGACTTGTGTTAAATACCACGTGTGAGAATACGGCAGTTGTACCCCAGTATTATCTTCTGGCAAGTTAGAGCAGTGATATATTTGACACAAGGATTGAAACATCATTCAGAACAGGCTAGAAAACCTCAGGAACAGCAGCCAGCTCCTGCCCGGGCCACACACGCAGAGCTCTGGTTTTATTGGGGCTGGATTGTGCCTTGTTTGGCTGGGAGGGCAGAGGACCTGCCCTCACCAGCGGGTCTCGCTGCCGCCTTTCTCTCTTAGCTGGAAATCTTGAGTTTGCAAGATTTCTCTTAGGTTGGAACGTGGTTTTTTGGGCATTTTTTTCCCCGTAAGCTTTGCAGAGCACTGCACACAAAGGGGAGCTGGTATCTTCCAGCATTTCCAAAGACCTCCGGACTTGATGAGAAGTAGTCAGAAAAGTGAGTGCCACATCCCGGGACCCACCAGCTACTTCCATGTTCCCCGGCGTTCTGCGCATCCCTGTTTTCTCAGACCTGCCCCCCAAAGCTGGCATTGCCGGGAGCACCCTAAAAACAGGACAGCGAGTGGTGCTGAGCCCTCCAGCGCCTCGCCAGGAGGATGAATGTGCCATTATGGCCAAGGAGGAATAAACCACCCTTGTCCCCGGCGCTCCCGCTGAGGAGGCCGCCTTGGTAAACAAAGGCAGGGCACAATGGGTCCCACATCCCGGAATCACGAGCGCGGCGTGAGGCCCGATCCCCGGCGGGGCAGCGACTCTGGCCCCTGCAGACAGGGGTGGATTTGGGGCAAATAGCTTAAGAATCCGGCTCACTTGGGTGTCAGCAGCCCCGCACGACAGGAAAACTTCCCATTTTCACATGCTGAGAAAGGGGAAACATCCAGCAGGGGAAAATACCTTTGGGAAGGTGAGTGAGGGGGGAAAAGGCACAATCATAACACGATTTCTCTCCACAGAGCTCGTTATCCATTTCTAGAGCTGGGCGTTTTAAGCGTGCACGGGCCTTGCACAGTGTCTGGGCAAAACCAGTTTGAAGCTGCAGGTTTAATACTTGCTTTGGTAGGAATCTGTGACTTTGCCCAAGCCTAAACAGCAGCCGCTTCTCCCAAGGTATCCACGTGCCCGTGGGTGCTCTGGGAAGGGCTGAGCACGGATGTGGGACACGCGGGATGGAAAAATGCACATTGGCACAGCCTGGCCTTTGTGGGACCAGGGAGAAAGCACCTCTATCTCCATCAGCGCTCTGCCTTTCATTAGACCCTTTTCCTTTTCCATGCTGCTGGAGCGTCCTCTAAATATTGCTTTATCTATAGGCTTCTTAGGGAAAATAATAAAAAGGCTCTCTTATGGTTTCTAATGGAACTCCTAATGTGCAGGAAAGCTCTCTTAGGCCGCCAGTGAACATGCATTTTTATTTCATTTGTTATTGATGAGCTAGCGTAGCACACTTGTGAGCTGGCTGCTCATAAATTATAGAGCGTTACTGCTAAGGAGGGCTGCTCTCCTCCGCAGGCTGTTCAGAAAGACCCCTGCCCTGCAGCCTGGGGAAGGAAAAGCGGGAAATGCCGAGTGTTCGCTGCATATCCCGCTGTGTATCCCAGGCGCGTGACTCAGCACTGGCACGGCATCCCCTATGGATACACCTGGAAGCACCTTCGGGGGCTATGGACCAGCATTGGATGAGTCTTTCCCAGTGCGGTAACACTTTGCTCTTCCAAGCAGGAATTCACAGATTGGGATTCCTGGCTCCATGTGCAACGTGGCACCAGGCAGCACTGCATGCTCAGGAAGCAGGAGCCGGGCAGCAAAATTCCTCAGATTCGCTTGAAAAACAGGGAGATTGAAACCCAGACTCTTCTAGTTTGCCCGTAGTTCAGACTTCTGAAGACCCTGGGTTTCTGTTTTCCACTCGGCTCAGTGGCCAAACAGGGCCGTGAACAAGTCGTGTCCGGGCTCAGGCTGACACAGGATCAGACCTGCCGTGGGGACGGAGAGCGACCTGCAGCCCTGCGTGCAGCCTCGCGTGGCACCACGGGCCAAGGTGGCTGCACGAGGGCCGCCCGAGGCAGCGAAGGCGCCTCTGCGTCTCGCTCCGTTGCGGGACCCCTGCGCCCTGGAGCTGCGAGGAGCCGCAGGGATGGGCAGAGCCATCCTCCCACGGGACACGCTCGCAGCAAGGGCCGCGGGCCGCCGCCATGCCCGGGCCCGCGCGGCGGCCATGTCCTGCGGGGCGGCACCATGGCGGCCGCCCGTCCCGCGCCGGGCGGGCCGCGGGGCTCGGCGCCCCGCACCGCACCGCAGCCCGCCGTGAATCAGCAGCGGCCCCGCCGCACGGCGGGGGCGGGGAGCGCGCGGCGGCCAGGGCGGCCACGCCGCTGACAGCGAAGGGCGGACGGGGCGGGGAGGGAACCATCTTGTCGTGAGGAGGAACGGGTTGTGTGTGGGGGGGGAGCGCGCGCGGGGCACGCCGGGAAATGGAGTCTCGCGGGCAGCGGCGGGCGGCGGCGGGCGCGGCGGCGCGG